CATCTCCTAGGGCAAAGAAAACTAAGGAGAAAATAAACAAATGGGATTACATCAAAATAAAAATCTTCTGTACAGCAAAAGAAAACTTCCACAAAATGAAAAGAGAGAACACTTCCAAGATCATTCTATGAAGCCAGCATGACCCTAATACCAAAACCAGGGAAAGACAACACCATGAAAGAGAATTACAGGCCAATATCCCTCATAAACATAAATGCCAAAATCCTCAACAAAATCTTAGCAAATCGGATCCAACAGTACATCAGAAGGATCATACACCATGACCAAGTAGGATTTATCCCAGGAATGCAAGGATGGTACAACATCCGTAAATCAATAAACGTAATACATCACATAAACAAATTGAAAGAAAAAAACCACATGGTCATATCAATTGATGCAGAAAAAGCATTCGACAAAATCCAACACCCATTTTTGATAAAAACTCTCAGCAAGGTGGGAATAGAAGGATCATACCTCAACATAATAAAAGCCATATATGACAAACCCACAGCCAACATCATACTCAATGGACAAAAACTAACACCATTTCCCCTAAAAACAGGAACAAGACAGGGATGCCCACTCTCACCACTCCTCTTCAACATAGTCCTGGAAGTATTAGCCATTGCAATTAGACAAGAAGAAGAAATAAAAGGCATCCAAATTGGAAAAGAGGAAGTAAAACTGTCCTTATTTGCAGACGACATGATATTATACATACAAAACCCTAGAGACTCCATCAAAAAACTACTAGACTTAATACATGAATTTGGCAATGTAGCAGGATACAAAATTAACCCCAAGAAATCTGAGGCATTTCTATACACCAATAGTGAACTTTCAGAAAGAGAGATTATAAAAACAATCCCATTTACCATCGCACCAAAAAAATTAAGATACCTAGGAATAAACTTAACTAAAGAGGTAAAAGACCTCTACTCAGAAAACTACAGGACGTTGAAAAAAGAGATAGAGGAAGACATAAACAGATGGAAGAACATACCGTGTTCATGGATTGGTAGAATCAACATCATTAAAATGTCCATACTACCCAAAGCAATCTATAAATTCAACGCACTTCCCATTAAAATACCAATGGCCTACTTCAAAGATCTAGAACGAACTCTCCAAAAATTCATCTGGAACAAAAAACGACCCCGAATAGCTGCAGCGATCCTGAGAAAGAACAAAGTAGGTGGGATCTCAATGCCAGATATCAAGCTGTATTACAAAGCCACTGTTCTCAAAACTGCCTGGTACTGGCACAAGAACAGACATATAGATCAGTGGAATAGAATAGAGAGTCCAGAAATTAGCCCGAACCAATATGCTCAATTAATATTTGACAAAGGAGGCAAGAACATACAATGGAGCCAAGATAGTCTCTTCAATAAATGGTGTTGGGAAAATTGGACAGATATATGCAAGAAAATGAAACTAGACCACCAACTTACACCATACACAAGAATAAACTCAAAATGGATAAAGGACTTAAATGTACGACAGGAAACCATAAAAATTCTAGAAGAATCCAAAGGCAACAAAATCTCAGACATATGCCAAAGCAATTTCTTCACTGATACAGCTCCTAGGGCAGTTGAAACTAAAGAGAAAATGAACAAATGGGACTACATCAAAATAAAAAGCTTCTGCACAGCAAAAGAAACCATCAACAAAACAACAAGAAAACCCACTGCGTGGGAAAACATATTTGCCAACGTCATATCTGATAAGGGCCTAATCTCCAAAATTTATAGGGAACTCATACAACTTAACAAAAAGAAGATAAACAATCCAATCAAAAAATGGGCAAAGGATCTAAATAGACACCTTTCAAAAGAGGACATTCAGAAAGCCAAGAGACATATGAAAACATGCTCAAAGTCACTAATCATCCGAGAGATGCAAATCAAAACAACAATGAGGTACCATCTCACACCTGTCAGAATGGCTATCATCAACAAATCAACAAACGACAAGTGCTGGAGAGGATGTGGAGAAAAAGGAACACTTGTGCACTGCTGGTGGGAATGCAGACTGGTGCAGCCACTATGGAAGACAGTATGGAGTTTCCTCAAAAAACTGGAAATGGAACTCCCATTTGACCCTGTGATCCCACTTCTAGGAATATATCCCAAGAAACCAGAAACACCAATCAGAAAGGATATGTGCACCCATATGTTCATAGCAGCACAATTCACCATAGCTAAGATCTGGAAACAGCCTAAGTGCCCATCAGTAGATGAATGGATTAGAAAACTGTGGTACATCTACACGATGGAATACTATGCTGCTGTAAAAAAGAAGGAACTCTTACCATTTGCAACAGCATGGATGGAACTGGAGAGCATTATGCTAAGTGAAATAAGCCAGTCAATGAAGGAAAAATACCACATGATCTCACTCATTCATGGATAATAAAGACCATTACAAACTTTTGAACAATAATAGATACAGAGGCAGAGCTGCCTCAAACTGATTGTCAAACTGCAGTGGGAAGGCCAGAGAGGGTTGGGGGGCAGAAGGGAGGGGAGTAAGAGATCAACCGAAGGACTTGTATGCATGCATATAAGCATAACCAATGGACATAAGACAATGGGGGGTAGGGGAGGCCAGGGGAATGTCAAGGGGGGGGAGGGAGGAGACATATGTAATACTCTTTGTAATACTTTAAGCAATAAAACAATTAAAAAAAAGATAAGAGAGCTCACTGTATGGGAGAACATGTTTGCAAATGATACATCCAATAAGGGGTTAAGTTCCAAAATATAGAAGGAACTCATACAGCTTAACAAAAGAAAGATAATCTATTTTTAAAATGGGCAAAGGTCCTCAATAGACACTTCTCCAAAGGGGACATACAGATGGTGAAGAGACATAAAAAAATTTTCAAAGCACTGATCATCAGAGAGATGCAAATTAAAACGACAATGAGGTATCACCTCACACCTTTCAGAGTGGCCACCATCAACAAATCAACCAAGGACAAGTGTTGGCGAGGTTGTGGAGAAAAGGGAACTCTAGTACATTGCTGGTGGGAATGCAGACTGGTGCAGCCACTATGGAAGACAGTATGGAGTTTCCTCAAAAAACTGGAAATGGAACTCCCATTTGACCCTGTGATCCCACTTCTAGGAATATATCCCAAGAAACCAGAAACACCAATCAGAAAGGATATGTGCACCCATATGTTCATAGCAGCACAATTCACCATAGCTAAGATCTGGAAACAGCCTAAGTGCACCCCTATGTTCATAGCAGCACAATTTACAATAGCTAAGATTTGGAAACAGCCCAAGTGCCCCTCAGGAGATGAGTGGATAATAAAGCCTTGGTATATCTACACAATGGAATACTACATGGTGATAGAAAAGGAGGAACTCTTACCTTTTGCAACAGCATGGATGGACCTGGAGAGAATTATCCTGAGCAAAATATATACCAGTCAGAGAAAGATAATTATCACATGGTCTCACTTGTACATGGAATCTAATGAACAAAATAAACTGGTGGGGAAAAAGGAAAAATAAACAGAAAGCACTCCACATATTGAGAAGAACCAGCCAAATCCATTCTCAGTGGTGCAGGAACTGTGGACAAGAGCTTCTGCTTTTCCTCTTTCCAGTTTTCCTGACACTTCTCCTGCGATTGTGGAAGTGACTAATCCTGCAGGACAGCAAAACAAGGCAAGAAAGGGGAAGTGCACTGTGTACAGAAATATGTGAGGTCTCAACCAAAGGTGATCCTGGACTGTGATTGGCCATATCCATCCCCTAAAACAAACTTCCGCACTCCCTCCTGGCTTCTATCTTCTGGTTCTGTGAAGTGCGCAGCTACAGGCCATCGAAAGGGATGCCTGTGAGTCCAGCTGGCACACTGTCGCCACAAATGGCTTTTCAGCTTTTGATCAATGAAGCTTATAGGGAAACTCCAACCCTGAAATTAATGCAAAGACGGTTCTAACCAAAAGAACTCTGGACAACTGTAATTCCTGTGAGAGAGTATGAGAATATGATGGGGGAAATATTCATCCACAGGTGTGGTACCTGCTAACTCGTATTTGCGGGTTTAATGGCAGAGACAGGAGGGTGATCCACAGAGTGGCCAGTGCTTTTCAAATGGTGCATTACAGCTCTTTGGTATAGTAACATTGTTTACTTGGACATGAAAAATACTTTAAAAATGGGTTAAAATGGAATGGATTAAAATAGAATAACTAGAAAATACGCAGTAATATGAATGTCGTTTTATTTAGTGTGTGTGTGTGTGTGTGTGTGTGTGTGTGTATGCGCGCGCCCTGAAATAGGCTTTGATAATTTGATATGATTTTCTTACTGTGGTCCTGGGCAAAAAAGTTTGAGAAAAACCTGCCATAATTGAGCTCTTTGCCACATACTTTTGGGATTCTGGACTTAAAAAACTAAAATCCCAACCATTCAACAGTGACAATTCTCTAGAATACATCCTTTCCCTTTATACAATCTTTCTTAACCTCGTTAGCATGAGAAGACTAAAAGCCTGAGGTGGAAGCAATCTACCTAAAGACACAAATGGGAGATTTAGAATGAAGTCTCTGGAGGCAGATAAGATTGGGGAGGAAGGGCACCAGATAAACACATGTGTGTGCATCCAAGAGAATTAGAGACCAGGATTCATTGGAGGGCACCAGAACAATGTTTTTCTTAGGGTAAACAGTTGCGCTGGGTAAAAACCTTGATGAGAGAAATGGCTCAGAGCCTGGATGTCACTTCAAACTGAAGAAGGTCAGGAACTAAGAGTCCTTCAACCAGTTCAATCCCCTGCTTCAAAGAGGGTTGTTGTTTCTGATTTCTATAAGAACATACAATGGAACTTTCCAGAAACCCAGGAGATAGCAGCATATAGAACATAATCCTGTTCTGGAAAGCACTGAGGAGGAACCAAAATATACAGAGCAATGTCATGTTTAATTTATTTAATGTGTGATTATTTCTCCTCTTTTTTCTTATGGTGTACTCACTATGTTTCCAAATGCAACAGCTCGTAAATTACTGGTGATGCTGATATTTATCTTAGTTTTCTGGGCCATTTACTTGTCTTTAAAAGAAATAAAGGTAGGAACTTTTTCCTTTTTCAGAACTTCAGGGAAGATCACAGTGACTTTGAATACTCATCTTTCTCAAGGCAAAATTTAAGTTAAAAGCATATCATCTTAGCAACAGATGTGGGTGAGAAAGTTCTCTGTTTAGCCATAATCCCTCTGACGATATCTGTGCTATTATTATTTTTTTAGTGACAGGTGGGTTTCCAGCCATCTCTATATAATTTGGCACTGCTGGCTAAAATCCTGGCTAAAAATCATCCTGGCTAAAAATTCTCTTTGGCCTTTGTCTCCGAGGCTCCAATCCAATTAAACCCATTTCAGTTCTCTGACTTCTTCACAGCGGTTTTCTTATTCTTTGCATAGTTCAGTTAGTGTTTTTATTTTCATTTTCTGTAGTCTTTCTTAACTGATCTTGCTTCACTTTCTCCTCCTCCCAAGCAGGTAGTACAAAAATGATCTTTCAACACTTCTGCCTTCATCATCCTCTTGTCCCGATCAAATACTTTAATCATGGTCTTCACACATGACAGAACCAGAGCAACTCCTTAGCCACTCAAGGTTCTTCTACATTTGAACCCAACTTCTTTTCAAAATGTCTCTCACCTTGGTCTAATAGAAACTCCCAGCTCCAAATAAGAAGGGCCACAAGTCTAGGACATTCAGGCATTGATGTGAACTGGTGAATAATAAAGCTCTCAGACCACTGCTCAGAATGTTTCTCTTTGCAATTCCTCCCTATATATCTGCTCTCTACCTTTCTACCTTTAATCCTCTTCTCTTTCACACTTGTATCCTTCAATTTACACTCTCAGATCCCATCCACTACTGCTGGAGGCTAAAGCAAACAGCAATTAGCATAAAAGTGCAAAAAGAGACATTGGAAGGCCAATGGACTTTGATATTCAGTGGCTCGAGGCGATTTCCCAAACTGATAATCTTTACATTGTATACCAAACTTTACCTTTGATCTGCCTGTATGCATTGCTAAAGGGTAAATGTGTATTCAGAGGGAATAAAAAGCAGACAGGACCCAGTCTCGGTGAGCCTCTTCACAAAAGAGGTTTCCACCTGGCCCCCCATGCCTTCTAAATTCATATTTCTTGTGTAGCATTTTCATTTGTGCGTCGGCCCCTGAACCTCGCCGTGCAGGTCACGGCACGCTACCAATATTAGTGCTTCTTAAAGTGAGATTTGGACCTGAACACCTGTGTTTGTGCATGTATGTGTAAAATGCAGATTTGAGGTCCTATTCCAGAGCTACTGAAATCTTTTAGGCCTGAGCTTAAGTATTAACAAGTTCCCCAGTTGATTCTTATGCTAAAGTTTGAGAATCTCTGCCTATGTACTCCCAGAACTGAGATCCATTCTGATTCCCACTCTTGAAATACAGGGCGGGGCAAAAGTAGGTTTACTGTTGCGAGTACGCAAGAGTTTATTCCTGTATTATTGTTTATTAATCATTGCATTATTTTTATAGCAACACCTGTAAACCTGCTTTTGCTGCACCCTGCATGTGCTGCTCATCGGGAATCTCCACCTCAGTCTTCCACTCGTGTCCCCAACAAAGAGAAACGCACTGATTTATCATCTCCCACCACCCTCCTTGGCAAAAACAAAAAACCAGCATCAACTGGAAACAAATTCCCTGCTCTTTCTCCTTCCTCTCCTGTGTTGTCACAGTTCATTAGTCAACCAAGCCAAAACTCTCCACAAGCAGTCTCATAAATTCTACCTCCTAGATATCTCTCAAATCTATCCTGTTTTCTCCACCCTCATTGTCTAGCTTTAGTCCTAGTGCTTTGTCATGCAAAAACAAAAAACCAGCATCAACTGGAAACAAATTCCCTGCTCTTTCTCCTTCCTCTCCTGTGTTGTCACAGTTCATTAGTCAACCAAGCCAAAACTCTCCACAAGCAGTCTCATAAATTCTACCTCCTAGATATCTCTCAAATCTATCCTGTTTTCTCCACCCTCATTGTCTAGCTTTAGTCCTAGTCCTCTGTCATTTCTTGTCTATGGTGTTGAATAGTTTTCTAATTAGTTTCCCTGCCTCCAGTCTCAGCCTACTTTAATCACTTGTTACACAATCATTTGTTTAACACTAGAAACAGCTTCATCTCCATCTCTTAGTATTTCCCTCATTCTGACACCCCACACCCTAAAATACCCTTTACTTTCTAAATTAAAATACTGCATAATTTATTTACTTATTATGTTAATTGATGATTGTCTATCTTGACCTACTACCAGGTCACCTACATGAAAGCAAGGATTTTTATCTGTGTTTACTTTTTTGGTCTAACAAATATAGAAATGACAAATTATAGAACTAGAGAACAGAAAAATGGTTGCCAGGAGTTAAGGGATTAGGGAAGGGGGGTAGGAGGAAATATGTGTGGCTAAAATAAAGCCAACATAAAGAAGCTTTATGGTTGGTAATGGAAATGTTCTATATCTTGACTATATCAGTGTCAGCTTGCTGGTTGTGATATTTTACTAAAATTTTTCAAGCTGTCACCATTAGGGAAACTGGGTAAAAAGTACATGAAAAAACTTTCAGGATGGCTATTATCAATAAGACAAGTGTTGCAGAGGTTGTGGGGAAAAGTATAGAAAAATAGAGTTGAATATTTAAAAAATTAAAGTGTGGAGAACAGTCTAAGATAAGAAGCAATGCTAGTTGTGTGACAAAGAAATTTTTCAGTGCTTTAAATATTAAATACCTCTAAAAATGTCAAGCAGTAAACTGATAAAATATATTTTGTGTAAAATTGAGAGACTAAATGTTACAATGTTTATTATATAAAGAACTAATAGTAACTGAGAAATAAAAGCATTGAAATCAAAGTAAAAGGAAATAGACAATTCAGAGGAGAAGAAGGAAGTATTCGAAGGAAACGAAGGTTGAAACACATCGGTATTAAAATAAATATAATGTAAAATAATAGTAAGTCTCCATTTTCACCAGTAATTGAATTTATTGGGGTGACATTGGTTAATTAAATTGTGTAGGTTTCGGGTGCACAATTCCACAATACATCATCTGTATTTTGTGTTTACCACCCCAAGTCAAGTCTCCTTCCATTACCATTTTTCCTTCCTTTGCCCTCTTCTACTTCCCTCAACCCCTCTTTCCCTCTGGCAATCCCCATTCTGTTGTCTGTGTCCATGATTCTTTCTTTTTTTTCCTTTGCTTAATCCCTTCACTCTTCTCACCCAGCCCTCAACCTCCTCCCCTCAGACAGTTGTCAGTCTGTTCTCTGTATCCATGAGTCTGTCTCCACTTTGTTTATTTTGTTCATTAGATTCCACATATGAGTGAAGTCATATGCTCATTGTCTTTCTCTACTGGTTTATTTCACTTAGTTTTCCAGGCCCATCCATGCTGTCGCAAGAGGTAAGATTTCCTTCTTTTCTATGGCTGAGTAGTATTTAATTGTGTAAATACTACCCAAAGCAATCTATAGGTTTAACACAATTCCTATCAAGATACCAATGGCTAGAAGGTGTCAATGGGGAAAAAAGGGACACACGTAATACTTTCAACAATAAAAATTTTTAAAAAGGCACCAATGGAATATTTTACAGAACAAGAACAAATATTCCAAAAACTTATATGAAACAACGCAAGATCATGAATAGCCTTAACAATCTTGAGAAAGAAGAATAAAGTTGGAGGAATCATGCTACCTGATATTAAACTATATTACAAGTCCATAGAATCAAAACAGCATGGTACTAGCATAAAGACAGACACGTAGATCAGTGAAACAGAATAGAGAGCCGAGAAATAAAACCATGCCTTTGTAGTCAGTTAATATTTGACAATGGAGGCAAAAACATAAATGGGGTAAACATAGTCTATTCAATAAATGGTGTTGGAAAAGTTGGACAGATATATGCAAAAAGTGAAATCAGACCACCTTCTCACACCATATGCAAATAGTTTTAATGACAATGCTTTATACTTTAAGCAAAATTATTTAAACTGTTGAATTTTGTAAGGGAAATTTAGTCAATTGAGATATCTAAAGACGACCCCTTTCTCTTGGTGAGCATTCAGCTATCCAAAGTCATCAATCAACAGGTGATTTTATATTATACTAGAGGCCTGGTGCATGGATTCATGCACCAGTGGGGTCCCTTGGCCTGGCCTGCGGGGATCAGTGGACCTCCGAGGCGCTGCAACCTGGCTTTACTCACCAGCTCATGGGGCTCCAGCCCACTGTCCGCGTCAATCCCGCACAGCACGAAGTAGTGTACGAAGCAGCAGGCAGCCGGGGAGGAGCCCAAGCCTGGGCTGGGTGCCATGCTGCTCCTGCTCATCCCAGCCCCGCTGTGCCTGCCCCCACTGCTGCTCAGGCATGCAGGGGGAGTGTCCGCGGGAGAGGCTCATGCCGCAGCTGCACTCACCAGCCGTCAGCCAGGCTTGAGGCTGAGGGGTGCTCCCCCTGTGGGAGTGCACTGACCACCAGGGGACAGCTCTGGCCCTACCCCCCATTGCCCTGCGGCTGCTGTCAGTGGCCTTCCTCTGCAGGAGGTGACCAGCAGGCCAGTCACCAGCCCTGCCCCGCCCCCCCCATCGCCCCTCCACTACTGCTGGTCACCGCCACCTCCCAATCGTCATCCCCTCCCTCTGCCCACTGGCACCCACCTTGGCTGGCCTGGTGCCGCCCGCTCACCGGCCCTGCCTGCCTCTGATCGGTTGTTCATGATTTGCATATTAGGCTTTTATTATATAGGACTAGAGGCCCGGTGCACAAATTTTTGTGCACTCGGCGGGGAGAGGGGGTCCCTCAGCCCAGCCTGTGCCCTCTCGCAGTCTGGGGCCCCTCGGGAGATAATGACCTGCTGGCTTAGGCCTGCTCCCGGGTGGCAGAGGGCAGGCCCAATCCCTAGGTGCAGCCCCTGGT